CCTGTAATCTTTTAAATTCTCTGCATGATAAATCTATGGCCAATTCTGAAGGGTGAAGCTGGTGTGGGTGGGAGGTTGTAGCTCTTGGATATTCCTGGATGCTATCACTAATATGTGATGAATCTTTCTTTGATTACTTTCTGTACTGTCTCATGTAAGTGTCCATTTAATTATAAAGCATAAACAGGACATGCTTAAAATAGATGAGTCTGTTTCACTAGCATTTTTTTTGAAGTCTTTTTTTTTTTTAAAAAAAGCTTGGCTATTTCATAGTTGTTCAGGTTGACACTCCAAGTTGTTTTGAAGGTGTTTTCCTCGTAATTTAATGTGCCTGAATCAATAAACATTTTCTCAAGTCTCTAAACTGCTTTTAATATTTCAAACTAAATGTTCATTTATTGTGTGAAATTAGTCAGCAAGCAAAAGCCGCAACTCCAGTACAGAGCAAGAAGTTTGTCTGAAACCACTATTAGAGCCAAATGTTTCTAGAAAGGCACTGTAGACTAAATATGATACTGGATTGGATAGACTATGCAGACTACATATTAAGTGGGCAAAGAAATGAGGCAATTTACTTCAGTCATTTAGTGAAGCTGCTTCCATGGGTTACATCATTTTTACATAAAGCCTAGAGCTCTTGAACATGATATAATATGAAAGAGCTTTTGGGGAGGACATACCTGTAACGTTTGAGGCATATGCCTATAATGTTTGGGGCATAACAGTATAAAAAGTTACTTTTTGAAATGAAGTGCTGCATTCACTAATATTCAGAAGGAATGTGTTCTATAGCAAAACTCCTCCCAAACTTGCATGCTTGTTGTTGGTGTTGGTTTGAGCCATCATTGCTAAATGGCATGCACTACCCTTATTTACAGAGTAATGGTACTTGCCAGCCTTGCTTGAGAATCAAACTACTACATTATTATGAGAACAGGCAATTTAAAACTGGAAAAATAAATGTTAAACCTGTGATCCTTGTCTTGAGCAAAGCCTGCAGTCTGATTAAAATTGCCAATGCCTAATTGAAAAACTTTATTAAAGTTCTGAAATAGGCCAACAATCTTGGCACTGCAGATGTGGATGGTGGCTGTAGATTTTCAGCTATGGTATTTGAAGAACCATAGCTGGTCTTGAGTCTTAGCAGTGTTTGTTTACCTTCCACAAAATCTATCACAAG